AGCAAGTCTGGGGGACGGTTGTAGGTTATATGGTGGACTGATGATGTTTTGATGGATTTTAGGTGCGGATTGTTTTGGGTCGGTTGGGGTGCCCATGGGCGATTTACGAGAGTTGACTTGCTCTGAGGACGGGAATGTTTTAAATGCAGATCCACCTGAGTTACTAGTGTTAGGTTGTGACATTGAGTTTGTCGCAAGTGTAAAGGTGACACTAGAATTTGATTCTAATGCATTACATTTGGATCCGTTAGCGATGTTATCTCCGTTGATGCTGCTAGTCCAGCTACGTGGACGACAAACGTGCGTCCAAATACGATATTTTGATAAATTATGGTTTCACTTTTATTGGCTTTTGTGGCATCAGAACTTGGTGCTACTATGGTTTCTGGGGAAATCCAGATCCGTTGCCCCTCTAATTTTCTCGTTGGGTCGTTGAATTTTTGGTGTAATGGATTTTTAGCTCCATTTGTAGCACCTTTGCGGGTGTTGTTCCGAAGGCTGTGGACTTGCTTACCTTGATTCGGTCTACAGCATATCTGGTGTTAATGTATTGGCGTTAGGTTAGAGCCGATGGGAGACCTCTGAGAATATGGTTTCATTAGCGGATAGAGTCCTCAGTTTTCCGATGATAGAAACCCTGAACAGAATACCTTGCACTGCTCCACATTACTGAGCTAAACCTCCTGCAGTCGAGCAGCGTGGTATGGTCGGCAACGGTGGATGACAGTCTTGAAGTTCCGTATTCCGAGGCCGGCCACCGAAAGTTCTTTTCGGGCTGCTCCATATCCTTTGCACGACATAACACCAACATCGTCAATTGAGGTATATAATTTGCCACTCCGAGGTAAATCACGAACGGGGCATATTTTAGTACTCGTTGAGCCACGTTCCGAACTGAAATACGAGTGACGAACCTGTCCTGATTTAAGTTTGACGCGACTTCACTAGAATTCAGAGCGCATTTCCTATTAAAAAATTACTAGTTTGATCCCCCTCCTCAATACTTCAGCCAGTTAGGTCGGCTGGGCAGCTGGTCCTGTTAGGCTGAGTACTGACATCTGGCTGAGCGCATGATCGCGGTGGTAAAACCTGCCTTCCTATCGATTAACGTTACAATGACGTACTCAAATTAACCAAGCGCAGGAACCTGGTTAATGGACAGATATCCGCTAAGCCACTAAAGTGCATTCATGGTGACGCTCATGCGCTCACTTGGATGTTTGGCGCGTGGATCAGCAGGAATCCATTTACGGTTTTTTTTCAGGACTTGGAAGTCTCAGACGATTTTTTTCTGATTCTTGTTCAGATTATGCATTTTCTGCATCCCAATACGAGCATTGACATGCTCGTATTGCCTAATTTAATGGTTTCTCCTTTTTTCCACTTTCTTCCAGAAACGAAGGCATGAAGTTTGCCGTGGGAAGGGACTGGCGTACGTTCTTTGACGTGATCATTGTCGGTGCAAACAAACCAGACTTCTTTCGCTCAAAAATCACGTAGGTATTACTTCAGAGGGGCAGTATGCTGAACCTCTCTAAATCCTCCCTATTGAGGTTTAGTCATGTTTTTTTGAAATGTCTCCTCGATCTTTTGCATGGTTTAACAGTCCTAACGTACGCATTAGTATTATTGGGCTCCCGCTCCCCAACGCATCAACAGGTCACGCGCTTTCCCTAGAATGATTTGGCTTAGGAATTAAAGAAGTTCGGCGATCATGGTGGTACGACCGTCTTCTCCCCAGGGAAGTTACGTCTCTCGGGGTGCATCTAGCCATTAGGAAACAGCGAAACTACTCCCACGCCTCCCAAGAACATGCTTGGTTTCTGTTCCACAGAGCAACTTCAGCCTAGTTTACCTATGAGCTCATTTTCCCTCTCCTAAACTACGGCGCCATGACGGGGAGGAGGAGTAAACAGCGGCATGAAGAGGGACGAAGGATGCGTCGGAGAGACGGAGGCTTTACGGTTCGAGCATTACCGTCTATCCATCACTGCCCCTCCTGGGCGTTCTACTTTCACTGTAAATGTCCTCTCTGTAACCTCGAATTTTTGGGTAATCTGTGACCCTGCGGTCATCTGTATTGTTAGGAATCTCAATGATCTCTTAGCATGTCAGAGAAATTTGTGAGAATGCAGGTATGGTTTATTCTACTGACTTTGATAATGTCCATATCTCCCGGCTTCGAGCGATTTTACGGTCAGCTGTGCAGTCTACTACTCAGAGCTGCATATATTTATGATAGAAGGAGCCTTGGGAGAAAGCAAGAAACCTTGTGCCAGGAAAGTGAGTTTATGGGTCCTTATTTGCACGTTTTTTTAATGAGGAACGAAACTGGGGGGAGGGGAGGACTTGCCTACACATCCGCCCGCCCATTATTTGTAAAGTGTGATCATACCATTCCCTTTTATTATGCTATTACTCATTCTAATCTCCCCTGCCTGCAATTGTCATCTGTCCGTTAACTTTAAGCTTCTTCATGCGCATCCACATCCTTTTTCTGCAGAGCATTCCGGGCTGTTGACGAGTGCGGAGCATTTAGGAGTTGGGAGGGTGTCTCGAAGTTCGAAAAAGGCCAATTTTACCTCGGTGTAAGTTGTACTCTGCCTCTTTCTCCTCAGTCGCCAACAGGAAGCATTGATCAGATGTGGTTATGTAGCCCCACCTTAAGTAAACAAACCCCAGTCACCTCTAATACGAGACCGGTGGTAATGGCGGTGGGGCCGTGGAATGCACAAGCGATGATGTCAAGTAGCTGTATGCAAAAGAAAAGCTATTGGGAATGTGTGGTTGTACTTTGAACGGTTGAGAAATAGTTGCCCTAGCCCATAACCATAACCCCAATCCCAACAGTATTGTGTCCATCATGTGGGGCTACCAAACCACATCTTACCGAAACATCTGAGGGACTGCATACACCTTGTCTTTGATACATTCTCATTACGTTCCGTTCAGTTACAAGGCCAAGCTTCTCAACTCGGAAAATTTTGAGTGCAAACTTTCGGTACACCGAAAAGTCCATCTAGCCGACATTGCCACTAAAACTATAGTCTCCACCAGAAAGACTCCAGGCAACTGAAAAGTATGGAGATCTGTCGTACGCTCTGAAGATGTTAAAATTGAAACTCTGAGAGTGGGGTTTGGCATCGCTCTCTCGGACTCCTTGTAGGTCACGAGTGCGATGTATTGGATGCACTTTCCAAGGGAGGCTATGGAAAATGTTTGAGCCCTGTCTACCTCACGGCAGTGGAATTCTGCAAGATTCTGCTTTTATATTCAAACAGGGGTGTGAAGGCGTTTGCCCAGATGGGAGACTTGATTTCATCGACCTGAATGGTAGACGAAAAAATCCACATTCCGTTTCTTCTACAGGAGTTTTGGGCTAGGACTAGTAGTTTGGAGTAACGTTTTGGCTTTTGCCGTCGTCATTCGTCGAACCTAGGGAGCGAAAACCTGAAGTTTGGATATAAACCATTAACTTCGAAACCCACTGCTCTGTGATTTAATCATGGGCGCAGGCCCTGTCAGCTGCGCTCGCGAATATGCTATCGATCCGCAGAGTACAAGCAGCAGGGTTAGTAGTTCAGTATTACCGGGACTCCGATTTCACTCTGGTCTCACTCTCTGAGTGCGCCTTCGTCGACCCGCTGAGTCTTGAAAGGTTTTCGAAAGCGGATAATGGCATTCCGTACTTCCTGCCCTAAACCTCCTTCATGCTGTGTGCGGACCGTTAGTCCCCCTTTCTCCCGGGCATTGAAGGCAGCGTCTGCGCCAACGTGCTTGAAATTCGAGCTACTGCTCCCTTGAATAAAAAGCTGTGATGTGTGGCATAGCTCTTGTTCTGTCCGATCGTCTCTTTCTCGTCAGTTACTGTATTCGAGAGTTATATTTCTACCAGTCACTACACTTGGTTTTACTCGTCGATGAGTAAGACTGCTACTGCAGTCCGAACCAATTACGTAGCTCCTTTTCCCTGTTTTCATCATTGGCTAAAACATTAAATAACACTCGCGGTTGCCCACCTCAGACTGCATAACATTTTCAGTAGCTGTCCACTGTGCCTTTGTTATTTGTATGTTCTAAACCTCCAAGCCTGTGTGCTCGCTGTGCATTTTAGGGCAACTTGGACATGCTGAGGCGGTTTACAAAGTGGCCCTTCCAGCGTGTACTCTTCTTCGGCGACCACGTATATTACGATCTTGCGGTGAGTGCGCGGAGATTTCTGCTTTAGCCTCCTCACTCTGAGTGTCTTCCTGCTTTCAGAAGAGTACTCTGCCTAGAACCCCTGAACCTGTCTGTACGCACGGGTCTTCCTAATGCACTCCTAAGACTGAACTATGGAACTCTCCCCTGTCTTCGCGTCACAAAACCGATCTATCTACAGTCGAAAGCTTGCAGTAGTTCATGTCTCTAGGATCGCTTAAGACCCCTGGCAGGAATACCCGCAAGGACGACTGGCAAAATGTTTACTAGTAGTCGAGACAGTTATGGCACCCGAAAGTGTGCACTTGGGAAGCTTAATCGAGTCTAAGAGTAGTGGAAGCGGCTGCGAATAACCAGCCTGCAGATTTCAGTTAAAGACTCCGTAGCCAGCACTGTCGTGTCACCGCATATTTGCACATAATATTCGCGCTGTCGGGACTCCTTAGGATGCTGATTACACAGCATTTGGTTGCTTAGTCGCCCAGCTCGGGGGCGTCTATTTCTTTTGGCCAGTTTGCGCTAGCGATGCCGGCACTTTGGCACCTACTCAGCTGCATATCCAGCCTCCGAACAGGTCACTAGAAGTCAAACACAACCGCTCATCTGGAGAATGGGCTATTGCGCCCCGGAAAGTGACGCGTTGGATGCGTTTCATTTGGTTGCGGAGACCTCCGCGACTCCACGTAACTCCTGTTCAAAAACAGCCGCCTACCGACACGACGACTGGTGTCCGGCTCCAAATTCATTTTGAAAGATAACATTCACTCATAAGCTAAGCAAGATAGGCTTCTGTTGGCGGTAAGACAGAGAGACCTCGCGAGACAGTGGTATTCCCCGTCTCTAGTTTCTTAACCACTTCATGTCTTCTCCTTCTGTCCGATAGGACGTCTCAAATCAGTGGGGCTGGGCAACTGCGGCTGTCATTCCCGAACTGGAATATGAGATCGACATTACTAACACTGAGGTCTACCGCTGTAATCTGCGCCGACTGTCGCTACTGGAGGACTTGCTCCTCAATAACCAAGTAAGTCGCTTGTGCTCGAAACACCTTTCCGTTTTCATAACAAGGCTATGCTCCCCACCGACAGGTGATTCACATGTCTGTCTCCAATCCAATCGTCCTTATTGCCTAGGGACAAAGCCCAGGCCAAATAGACCAAACTGATCGTTCGGGCTAGAAAGAAGGGACATACCACCTCCCTCACAAAAGCAGCTAAAAGTGGGACTCGTTCTGAATGTACTAACTTTCCTCACCTGTGGTACTACCGCGATGACCGCCTGGCGGTGAGCGGCCAAATTGAGAATACTGGATACATGAATCTGCTAAATGAAGCATAAGCTGCGGCGGACATTTAAAACTTGCTTTGTTTGACCATCGATTCTTGATTAACACAAATGTGGCCACGCCAGTGAGGATGCATTGCAGTTCAGGGTCACAGTTTAGTTGCTCTTCGTAGTCGGCTTTTACTTGAGGTTCACGAGAACGCTTCAGCACCAAATACCATCTGCACTGTGCACGACAGGCATACCAGTATCGTTTGCGGTTGAACGTAAATGAGGGTTGGCCAGGGCGTCTCCCCAATCCGTGCAGCCCTGTGTCGTCCGGCGCGGCCAACCGACAGGAACCGGCCGTTAAAGTTATGATCAACGGAGTACTCGCGCACGAAAACGTCTCAGTAGTAGAGAAACGGCCTCAGAAATAGCACTCCAAGCCCCGGACTGTCCCCACCCTCCCCCTTAGTTTATTCACCATAGCTTCTCTGTTTGCACCGCTCAACGAACCCGCTGGTACCTAGTTTTTTTTGGAAAACGTCGCGGATGCCGACTTGTTCAGTATTCCTGTAAGCAGGCTGAAACAAAACCATGCAACTACGCTGTACAGACGATGTTGGATGCCTTGAAGGTACAATGCCTGATGTCTGCCAGTGGTTTTTCTAAACACCGTTGCTTGCCATTTCCAATATTTACGTTAGCGCTGAACGGTGATTTGGCTGAGCCTCGGTAGCGGCTGTAAAGTAGATGCTAAGGTCAATCGAGCTCAGAAGTCTCTTGATGCTGTACTTAGTAAGAATTGATAATTGGCAAGATGCCATCGACATGCCGACCTCGACAATTCCATGGATATCCGACCAACTGCCTGTCTTGGCGAGCCCGAGTCTCCAGGGCAGGCACAGTCTTTATCTTACGATAGCGCAGTCACAGGCTGCACAAGTTGACAAGGCGGAAAATTGCTAGACAGGCGGGCTAAGTATGACTGGCTGACGACGGCTAATAAGCCAGAAATGGCCATTCCAGTCTCCCTTTTCTTTGTCGGTAATAAAATACTGCCTATATCATGCGCCACTGCTGGTTGGGCTCGAGAGAGGCACAACGGAACGAGTGAGTTCCGTAAGAACGATCGGTGAGCGCCCCCTACCATTGTATATTCCCGATCGAAACCGAAAGGGCAACGGGCTTGTGGCCCAGTGGTTAGAGGCGTAGACTTCTGACAGGTCGCGAGCTCGAGCCTCGGGTGTTCCACGCCTCTGGGTTGGGTATGACTGGCTGACGACGGCTAGTAAGCCAGAAATGGCCATTCCAATCCCCCTTGTCGGTAGTAACATACCACAGTCAGAATGAGCAATCTTAGTTGCCGTATACGCATACATATGGTCTGCTCTGAGACTGACACTCGAACGCCAGGACGTATTTTGCCGGTCTTTTTGCTGTTGGATGACACGGCTGTGAGAACTCAACTTTCCGAATACAGTATGTTGTTAAATTATAGGGGCGCCCTGCATTCTCGTAAACACAATTCCCTCTACTACCATGTGGTTTTTGGATGAGGCGCCGAGGTCCCAAATCACTATTCGTGTTCCAGGGCTCGCAGCGAGAGGTTTCCCAGGCTGCGAACTTGTGATGGTTATGGTCTACTTGTCATCTCTGGTATGTTCCGTTGGGCTTAGGAAACATTGAAAGACAAGGATGTAATATCAAGGGGCTGTGGGATTGCTCTGCCAACTGCGTTGTAGAAGGGCTCTTTTACGAGGAACAAAATACGGCAAAACGTACCAGAAACATTCAGCGTAATTCACACACTTTATGATGCAATGTGACCCTGTTCGGTGTTTTAGTTGGTCGTCACGGCGGAAGGACAGGCCGTCCTCGAGGAGTGGCGCAAGGAACGCGACCACCTGCGCCTCCTGACCAAGGTCTGCTTCAACGAGCACTTTGGCAGCATTTTTCGATCATTCCACAACCCCTCCTATTTCTCCCAGCGATTAGGTCAGTACGCCTCCATGTACACATCCTCAGTGACCAACCTTCTTGCCCTCCCAATAAACCACACCTGTTATCCTCGGCGGACTCCCCTACCACACGAGCACCTCTGACTTCCATCCCTTTATGTTTTAGCCAGTTTCCCAGATTTTGCTTCGACTTCACTCTATGGCCTCCTGCTTGTTACATAATCTGCCTCTAACCACACTAACTGTTTCCTTAATTTTTACAATTGGCCCTCCGCTGAAGCATTGATGTACAAAAAGTACGTGTACAAACATTCTAGCAGTATTTATCGTCTTTCATGCTGAGTTATTTTGGTGTACTCCTCCCCGTCCTCGGTTGCCTATCTTGCCAGTTCGAATCCGGTTTCACCTTTCTGTTGACAGGCCTGTATGCAAAAGCAATAAAGTATGTGTTCGTTCTTCCACACCTAACTCTCGTCTTTGTCTCGAATGATGTCTTGTTTGTCTGGAATTAATACCGACAAATTGGAGTTGCCTGGGAGGGCTTTAGACTACACTTCCGATGGTTTGACCGACAGAGGTCCATCACTACCCTGTAGGGCGCAGTGGAGTCACACGCGCGAATCCGTCTACACTAGAGCAGACTTCAACATCTACCCCGGCATTTCTTCCCATACCCACCATGTTCCGACAACAGAAAAAAGACAACTGTAAATAGGTATAGAAGCCCGTCTACGCGTACCACCCACAATCCGAACCCTGGACGTCGCGCGAACCGGGTTTCGCGGAGGGAGCCAGGTATCTCACATAGGTGGGTGCCATAAAGACTACACTAAGGAGGTCATCACAGCCTAATGCTCGGCTCGGAGGACAATCGAAGCTCTCCGTCAGACTGCGGCTCAATCATGCTAGCTTGACCGTAGTAAGAAAACTGTGTGTTTGATTTCCGTGGAGGTAGATAGGGATCGGTTTCATGAGCCAGTGGTTTGTCCTAAACCGTTGGCCGGCTGGCAATGAGATAGGGTTCAGTGGCTGGCGTAGCATGGGCCCTCGCCTACCATGTAATCCAGCAGTTACAGACGGAGACGGATGTGGCGCAGTCCAACTAACGCATACCAAGGAGTCAATGCGACACCTGTTTTGCTCTAGTGCAACAGCTGGGAGGGCTGGCGGAGGCTGAGAATCCACGGCAAAACGGGACACCCCTCTCCCACCTTGGAGTTAGGTCGAGACGGTGGATGCTTGGATCAATATTCTTGATCGCAATCGACAGAGGATCAGCCGGCGGCTCAATTGCCGAATGGGTCCGAGTTGCGATTTCTGGTCTTCGACAAGGCTGGCTGAAAGGAACGAGCAAGCCGAAAGTGACCCATACAGTTTCCCCTACTTTTACCAGTGCTAATTTGGGATGCACGCCGTCTTCCTATAGCCCAGGGCACATGCCAGAGAGAAATCCGGAACTGGTAAAAAAGTGCCTTAACTGCATTAGGAAGCTTGTCAGAAAGCAATAGAATACAGCGCAGTGCAGGCTTGCGCACGATAAAAAAAGAACATGTCTATGCACAGGACAGGTGGCGAAGACAACCGTCTCATGTAATGTACACCGTTTCATCGTTCCGCCTCTTCTTCGGCGCAAAGGCGCCCGGCTTCACCTGAGCATCCGGGTGGTTGGCAAGTTCGGCGGGACACTTGGAAACTGGGGACTGGAGTAGCAGCTGTTTGAGATCGT